ATGATACCAAAGTCTCTTTGAATCTGTCTGACTTGGTCGGCCGAGCTGATGTCATGCCTAATCGTTGAACATTGCAGTGCTGACGGTCGCTCTGCATCTCGGGTGTCATGTCACTGAACTAACGAAACTGTGGGGCAAACATTGAAGGATGGCGGTAAGCATAATATTATATCATGCGTTAGGATAGTCTAATTACAATGTAAGTCCAGGACATGTGATAGCACGAAACCGAAGGGGAGGTACGGCAGAGGAGATAGAGTATAGGATGGATGTACAATGTACTGAAGCAGCATTGTGGTGGACGGAGAGGACGGACTGGCGAGACACGGAGTCGCGTCCGCAGTCATTGATCGACGAATTTAGTGACGTAATGATCTTGCTATTAGGATGACGTGGGGTGGACCTCGGCGTTGGTACTCGAAACTGATGGTATATTCGACGGAAACATTGGCGGACATCGGTTGAGGAGGAGATTTGGGTAAGATGCCTGAGTTCGGTGCTTCGACCACGATGACGGTGCACACAATGCCAGTCTCGCGCTGGGGAGTAGTAGATAACGTCAATTACAGACCGGTAACGTGGATTAAGGAGAATACTGACAGGAGGAGGTATAATACCAGACATGAGTTGAATAAAGCTGATAAGAACACCGAAAGAGGTGCAGTTGATGGATCTGAATTGAAGAAATACTAGAAGAATGTTCTTGCGGATGGTGGGAACGACAGTCTAAGATGAGGAGTAATTGACACCGCAGAATAGAGTAATGATTCAATGGCTTTATAGCATCTGCAGCGGGGTGGAGTGCCCCGATGACGTTGTCAAGAAAACAAAATCGACACAAGTCGCCCCCTTCATGTAGCAGAGGATTTGGTACCATTCGAGACCCTTAATGAACGCCGCGGCAAAGCGCATTGTAAGCCCTGCTGACGTGGCGGGGATGATGGCGCGACAGGGTTGTAAAGTATGTACATGCCATGAGGAAATTTTGAGCAGTATCTGAAGATGAGTTTCGCGTGGCATGTCCCCAGGAAACCAGGTAGATTGTTCGCCAGGGAAACTTGGGACAATGGGTCCGCCGCGGAGGAAAGGGGTTAGGGTCTCTCTGCACTGCGGTGGAGGTTATCGAAGAAAATGAAGCTCAGCACAAGTTTTGCGAGGTAGTTCAGCGCAGGGATCGTGTTGCATAGTAGTTCATTGTATTTCGGATACACAGAGCGAGGCTTAAAAGGACGATGTTCGAAGTGCATCTCATGTCGTTCGCCCAGGCCTCTCTTCTTCACATATTTTCAAGACGTTGAAAGATTTGTGTCACTGCGTTTCTACACCCTGCGACCATTCAAACACCGCGAAAGTTAGTTTCGATTGCGATCTGATTACGAGGCGTCATAAGAAGTTGTGAGACTTACGAGGATAATGGCAGCGTCTATAACAGAGAGAATGCCAATGCGTCATCATGGAATATTTCGAATCACCGATACTGTAAGTGCAGCAATGGCGAGGTAAGTACTAGGAGATAACTAATCAGGATCGATTCTTTTTATGTTGTGTGACATCGGCTTTTGTAGGCGGAATGGGAGCGAGACGACGTCGACAGTCCGAAATATCATCTAGCGACTATGTTGTTGAATGCCGATTTCGAAGCTATGGAGATGCGGATCTGGAAGACGTGTTTGTCAAGAGGACTCGAGGGTAACCGAAATGGGGGGCCCCGTGATCACGAGAGATGCTGGGGAATGTGTCGTGTTCATTGATCACAAGAATGTATCAGAGGTAACCACGGTGACGAATATGACGTCTGCGAATCCAAATAAGATGAAGGTTTCTAGCCGGGGTGTAATCTTCAATCGAGTCGAGAGGAGGTCGTTCAATGATGTTTTATTGTTTGTCAAGCATCGGGATTGGGATTTAATAGTAAGTCGGCTAGAGATATGTGTTGAGCGTTGCTAACTCGATCGTTTCTAGGATGAACAGTGGGTGGAGTTCAATGGCATGTATGCCTGCAGTAACAGAGGAATGATGCAATTCGACGACGAAGTGCTGCGAGTTGGGAATGTGGTGGATTTTGTTGGTACGGTAAAAGGCTTTAACGATCCAATGAATGCGTGGTACATTAAAGTGAGTGGTTGATTGAATGTTATTACGTAGTGATGACTTACTGAAAATCGAATCTGCGGTAGGCCTCAGACGCTTTGTTAGTTAGAGGAGAGCGGATTCTCATTGGGCGCTGAGTGGCAAGGAAGTGGGGTCGAGGTGAAGAAGATATGGCGGCATCGGTGTCATGCGCAGTACGGTGGGAGGTTGTGGTTCTTTTCAGAGCGGGCTTTGGTTTTATGTCCGAGCGATCTGCTCTCATGCATGTAATGTAACTATAGTACAGGGTGCGAACGGCTGCTACCGTTGTTCATGTTGCTCGCGGCAGACAGCCACACGCGCCTCACCGGCCTGCGTGGAGGGGCAAGGAAGTGCGGGGGTTTCAGTGTGGTGCGGGGACAGTGATGGCTGTGGATGGGAGGCGGGGTCTCAGGTCGATGCGGCGAGACGCGCTACGAGACACCTGGGCCTGATGGGGGCGGCGGGCCGGCCCCCGATGTTCTAGTTTGAAAAAAAAGAATGATGTTTTGTTGAAGTAAGTGTGCGCAAAGCAGCTCAGACCTGCATATTTGTCTCATGAAGGGCTTGCTTCCTGAGCACCTGGACAAAGGGATAGTCTTTGGATCTAAAGATCTGTTCAAAGGGAAAGTCTTCGGATCCAAAGACCTGTTTAAAACTTCTATCACTCTACTATAACTTTCTTTTTGTGGTGCAAGTCGACGTGCTACCAAGAAATTTACACAGTGTATGGTATACAAATTGTTCTGGAAATCTCTCTGGATATACTCAGAATGCTAGAAAACTTGTGGTTTAGAATAATCTAAAAAGGTGATATTGGTATATCACATATGTAGATGTCAATATTTCCAAATAACAGATTTTGCTTTGTAAGCCAGAAAAGCATTTGTATATCTATT